CTAAAAATCCTAACCTCAGGGCCTATTCTAAACATTTTCCATTCTTAAGACCAGGGCCTGATGACTTTTGCCCCCTCATTTTTAGGAAATGAAAGGACAAGCCACTTAAGCTCCCCCTATTTTCCTCTTAATTGGACTCTAACCTTTTTTTTCTTACTAAAAAACAACTAAGTGTCTGCCATGATCTGATTTCTGCTCAAGCTTACTCGGTTCCCTTCTCCCCATTTGACTCCATGCCTTTGTGTTCATGTTCTCCACCTAGAAAGCCATTCCCCTACCCTAATTTCTGCGGCTCCTTCCATGAGAGCTAGACGTACGCTCCAAACCAAAAGCAAACTCAGTGCCATAATTGATTTTGACTCATAACTACCCCCATTGGGTTTCCAAGGCTGTCAATCTTTACAGAAGCAGACTGCTTCATCTTTCTCTTCCATGGAGCAGCTGGTGGGCTGAACCACCAAGGTTTTGGTTAGCAGCCAAATGCCTTAACCATGGTACCATCAGGCCTCCTTAAGTGCACTGGTTTATATTTACAGTTTTGGTGACAACATAATGGTGTTCCTCAAATATTTGGCACCTACATTTTAGTACTAATTTAAACGGGTGCTCTAGTAGCATAGCGCATAAAGCATTTGACTGCTAACCAGAAGGCTGGCAATTCAAACCCAGCAGCCACTCCTCAGAAAGAAGATTGGGCAATCTACTTCCGTGGGCTGTTAATAGTAACTACTGTTTATTGAATTATTCTGGACCAGTAGGTTGTATAAAAGGAGCTCTGGTGGCAGTGGATAAGGCATTTGGCTGCTAACAAGAAGGTCAATGGTTCAAACCCACCAGTTGCTCCACTGAAGTAGAGGCGGTATCCTCGGAAACCCAAGGAGGGTCGCTGAGTCGAATCGACTTGACAGCAGTGAGTTGGTTTTTTTTTTTTTTAATTCAAGCTGAGCTATTTCTCTATACACTTCTAAAATCTACTATGAGTTAATGACTAGCTAAAGATTTTTTGTTAACTTTTCACAGTCCAGCACAGCCCCTTCCCAGGTCCTTGGGCAAATATCCAATGGGCTCTTTTCCCAAGAAATTGGGCACATTGCTTCAGGCCTGTTTCGGTTGCCTAATTCTCCAGATCAGCAAACCTCTCACCCAAGTTAAAACTATTCTTGCTGAAAGCATTCAACTTAACATCCAGGGAGAGGTAGGGTATTGGTCAACTGTCAGTTAACTTTGTTGAGTTTAAACCCAGACATCAAGATCTGCCAATGGGAAACAAGTGTACAGGGCTGAGTAGTCCCTGCCCTTCGACAACTTCACCCAGATCTTAAATCCACTTTCATTTCCAGTTGGGTTTCCACACCTGTTCTAATCTAGCAAAGTCAGGTAGAGCTCATCCGACCGGATCCATCCAGGTCAGTCATCAGCAGAAGCCCAGCCTTGAAACCAAGTACCCTTCCAGGCTAATTTCCCAAAAAGAGCCAGAAGAGTTTCTCACCATCCACCAGACGTGCTGGTCAGCAGTGGCCCTTAAAAGGATGATTCCACTGGGTCACAATCTGGAGACTTTCTTCCTTTTGGAAGTCACTCTGCCTGCTCCAGCAGGTCTGTGGTAAGACTATACTGGGATTATGACAAAGTATAACGATTTTTATATATAACCTCAAACTCACTACCATTTGAGTTGATTCCAACTCAAAGCAACCCCCACTGGTTTTTGAGTCTTTCAAGTCTTTTCAGAAGAACACGGCCCCATCTTCCTTCCATGGAGCAGCTAGTGGGTTTGAATCACTGACCTTCTTGTTAGCAGCCAAATGCCTTATCCACTGCCACCAGAGCTCCTTATATATAACCTACTGGTTCAGAATGATTCAATAAACGGTAGTTATTACAGCTCACATCCTGACTCTTCAAATAGGTTATAAGCCTCCTATGGCAGGCTGTGCCTCACACTATTTATTTCTCATCATCATCTACAAAACTTTAACCACAGCTCCCCACAAATGAAAAAGGGTACTATAGAAAATAGGCACGTTGAGTATAAAAAGAAATTCAGCTTTCATTAAAGGGTCTCCAACTCCTTGAGATGAGAGTAAATGATGTACAGTGGAAAATGTATACCTAAAGTGAAGTTTGATGACCAGGACCCTTGGCCACAGTGGGAAAACTAGCCAACTCAGTCCCAGCGTGGCCCAATAAAGACAGCACGGGACTGCTAGTGAGACCAAGTTTCTATGCTCTTGCCTCTGCTCCCAATTTGACTTCATAATCTTCTGGACCTCAATTTGTTATATATAATTGCTTGTTATTTTATCCAAAAATACATTTAAATGAAGTATTAAAAGTATTTAACATTTCAAACCGACTTACCTAGAGAAAAAATAATTCCATTATTTCAATAACCTTGGTAAAACAATGATAGATGATGGCTTTGAAGGAACTGATTTTGAAAACATATTCCTATCTTAAGTATGGTTTCATGTAGTTTGGATTATCTGTGGTTACCACAGCAGTATAGCTAAAAGTGTTACTACATACCTACTTTCTAAAAAGGATGTCTTCTTATTCTCTAAAAAGGTGAAAATGAGAACTCAGGAGGCGGCTTTTCTGGGCTTTTTAACATTCTGCTAATGATCTGGAAAGGAGTCTTACTGGCTCAATGGTTAACCGCTGAAAGGTTAGCATGTGAACCTACCCAGCACCTCTGCAGGCAAAGGGCCTGGCAATCTGCTTCTGTGAAGATCTCATCACAGCCAAGAAGACCCTATGGGGCTGTTCCAGTGTCCCATGGGATCACTGTGACTCAACAGCACCTAAAAACTGTTTGATTTCAACAAGGGCTGCCACTGAGTAAGGAAGAGCAAGAGCCTGTTCAACTTTGTGCACATGTGTAGTGCGTTATTTAGGGGAAGCAAACTTATTCTTAAATGCTTTCCAGTGCCTCATGCTAGACAAAAACACAAACACCTGACAATTTCAGCAAGAAAATGGGCCAGGTGCTTAGAGGCTAAGTCCTACAATTGCCTAAAAAAGTGGTGGTTTTTCTAGTACATACTCTCTGAAAAACCATGTCCTGGATGTTGCAAAGTACTGCATGTATCTGGTCAAAATGCACATGCATTCTAATCACACAAAACTTAAAATACTTACCAGATTGCTATATGTAATGGAGGCAGTCATTCACACAGAGTTAAGGAGATACTGCACAGTTTAAAACCAGGAAAGGTGTGCATCAGGATTATATCCTTTCATTATACTTGTTCCATCTGTATGCTGAGCAAATAATCTGAAAAGGTGGACTGTATGAACAAGGCATCAGGTTTGGAGGAAGACTCATTAACCACCTGTGATACAGAAGACATAACTTTGCTTGCTCAAAGTGAAGAGGACTTGAAGCACTTAGTGATGAAGATTAAAGACTACAGCCTTCAGTAGTGATTACACCTCAACATAAAGAAAACAAGAATCCTCACAACTAAACCAGTAAGCAACATCAAGATAAACAGAAGACTGAAAGTTGTCGATGACTTCATTTTAACTTGGCTCTACAATCAATACCATGGAAGGAGCAGTCAAGGGGGAAAAAAAATTGCATTATGCAAATCTGCGAAAGACCTCTTAAAAGCATTAAAAAGCAAAGATGTCACTTTGAGAACTAAGGAGCACCTGACCTAAGCTATGGTATTTTCACCTGTCATATATGCATGAGAAAAAGCTGGACAATGAATAAGGAAGACCAAAGAATTCATGCCTTTGAGTTATGGCGTTGGCAAAAAATATTAAATACACCATAGACTACCAAAAGAACGAACAGATCTGTCTTGGAAGTAGTACAGTCAGAAAAACGGGATAGTGACATTTTCTCTCATGTACTTCGGACATGTTATCAGGAGGGACCAAGCCTGGAGAAGGGTATTATGCATGGAAGATTAGAGGGTGAGCAAAAAAGAGGACACCCCCTCAACAGGATGGACTGACACAATGGCTGCAGCAGTGGGCTCAAGCACAGCAATAATTAGGAGGATGGGGCAGGACCAGGCACTGGTTCATTTTGTTGTACATACACGGTCATTAGGAGTCAGAACCAACTCAATAGGAACTGACAATGGGAGGGAAGGGCAGAGGAGGCATAGTGGTAGAAGGATGGAATCAGAAAATGTTTATGTCAAACACAACAAATCTCATTCGTTAAAGAGAAATGACTTAGGCTAATAAAATAATTTATTTTTGGCACAAAGTTAAATCTCAAGTTTTATCAGAAAAATTAGGCAAGCAAAATGGCCTTAGAGTCTGGGATAATACAACACTGAAATGGACAAATTAAGTAACATTTGACCTTTAACAGAATTGAACCTTTTATTTTTAGAACTAGTTTATTTTTGGTTTCATCGGTAGCAAGAGGAGGCATAAAAAAAGGACTTTTGAATGGCTCACTTCATCTGATCCTACTTATGCTAGCTTCACCCCAAGCATGTTAGCACAAACCTATTCCCTGAACCCTACCAACAATCTTTGATTCCCTCTCAGGAGGCAGTATGGTGTCTGTCCATATTTCTGTCTCTCCCATCATTCCACACAGTAATCTGAGTCCAGGCTTTAAACAGGCCCAATGGCTTGTTTTCCTTATATCCTCCTCTTCCCCTTTCCAATTCTGGAATGTTCTCAGAGTGCAGAGAGCAGAATGCCGGAGCAGGGCTGCCCCAACCACCAGGCTCTGCTGGAATTGGGATGGCTGGTGCCCCAGGAACCGGCGCCCCTCCCTAGCCTAGAGCAGCCCTGCGCATTTTCCACACATGCTGAATCACGAAGTTCAGGAACACATTTAATGTCAGGAATTTCTGTGCTCTCTCCATAGCTGTCAGGGAAAACTGACAACAAAGCAACTGAAGAAAAATAGTTAATGCACCAAATTCATCATGTAACTGTATCTGTTTAAATTCATATTCAAAGTTTACAACACACAGAGAAGGCATACAAAACTTGCTTTTTAACTACCAACCACATTCAACAAGGGTATAAAACACAATTACTTTATTGATTTCTTATAACCAAATACTGCCAACTAGCATTACTTCCACTCATGCATCATTAAAAACAAAAGGAAATTTCAAATGATGCATTATACGATAAACAAAAGTTAGAACTTAAAATGCACCCTGATTAATTATGTAAACTGGTAATTTCTTTAAAAAGCAAAACTAATAATTTGGTTCCTTTCTTCATAAAATGGAAATTTACGTATGTCTCCTGATAGTCTTGAGGTTATCATCATGTTATGAGTAGTGCAAAGTGTGGCACATATAGTTTCATCTAGAAAAGTATCTTACACACGTTATTTAAACAAACAAAATGTGCACAACAAAATGCATACAGTCAATGCACGATAGAAAGCATGTTTCAAACACAAGGCAGCCCCTCAGGCTATCATATTATTTAGGTCTGCATTATCATTTATGGCATTATAGATTAATTACACATAACGTACTTTTATACATTTTAACCCTGAAGATAAGAAAAGTAACTGCTGCTTGAAAATATTAATTCCAGGTAGCCATTTGGTTTATATCAGGAGAAAGTGAACCTCCAAGACTAGTGTCTGCCAAGTCCGGAATCATTACCTCAAGTCAGTAAATCAGATATGTAACATATTTCACAGTGACTGTTTTCCAAGTCCTGACAGCGCTGCTTCTACAGTATGCCAGATGGTGATGCATCTCCAGGCTCACCCGGGCATGTGGTTTTCCCTTTTGTTCTTTTTCAGGATTAACTGTATCAATTCCCCTTCTCACCTCTTCTATGGTCACCCACTTTAGTTATTCATAAGTCCTTTCAGAATATCCTCAGAGAGCTCCATAAGGGGAAGTTCTGGAGATGGAAAATCCAAGGGAGGGAGATTGGGAATTGGAATGTCCTTGGCTTTCCCAGTATTTGTTGCAAACTTCTGCCAAGTTGAAGAGGCTGTAGCGGTTTCTGAGTGTGGAGGCAAGCTCCAGAGCTCTGATTTTTCTACAAAGTCAGCATCTACTTCCAGCTCCTTTTCTAGTGGACCTTTTAGAAGTCTGGCCTTATCAGCTTTTAGTCGTTCATTTTCTTTCCTTAATCGCTCATTCTCAGCCACGAGGAATTCCACGTGCCTCTGCAAATCGGCAATTTTGGTTGCCTGCTCCTCTATGATTGTTTTATCATCTTTTGGGGCTTTGCTCCCAATGCATGGCTCTGTTGGCTCACTCTTCTGCTGAAGTAAAAACAGTAGTGTGTCTGGATCCCTGTCAAAGACCCCCTGAATTTCAGGCAGGTGCTTCTCTGTGGAAGGGCCGTACTTCTGAGAAAGAAGAGGACTCTGGCCCCCCGCGTCCTCGGCAGAGGGTCTGTGAGATGCCTGAGGGTGGGGAGCTGCATCCCTGTCTGTGCTCTGCTGGGCTTTCAGCCTTTCCTCGCGCTTCGCTCTCTTCCACCTCTCCTGGATGAGCAGGAGCTGCTTCATGTGGCTATCCCTTTGCAATTCCAGTGATAAATGAGCCTGTTACACAGAAGAAAAGGTACAATTTGTAGAGTTTAAAATTTTTTTCTCTTTAGTAAGGTCCTATAGACTATTCCAAGAGCCTCCTTTCTGAATAGCCCAGTAACACTGAAAATTTATATGCTATGTTTCTAATTCAACAGAACCTCAAAAAATTTTCAAATTAACTAGGTCTTTTTCTACATAAGCTAACATTTTTATTCATAAACAAAACATCATCCAGGAATTCAGAAATCAACACACTGAATCCGACCTTTTTAGAATGCACTGTTTTGCAATGCCATTTGTACTTAGCTTAAAATTAGAAATCTTTTAATTCTACACCCCGCTAAAAAGAAAGTCTTCCAATCAATTAGAAAGCTCAATGCTTATCTGTATTACATGGTCAACAGAGCAGGTTTTATACAATCCAAGTGGAAGGGATATATCATAACTTTTAAGTTCCCTTGGCTCAGTTTGAAGAACTGATGACTTTTCCCTGCCACTGAAGGTTTTAACAAAATGACTTGTATATCCTCCCCAAAATGATCTCAATTTAGTTAAATAAGCACTTACTACCACCTATAGCACAGTGCCTAAGGTTGGCTGTTAACCAGAAGGTTGGCAGTTCAAACCCATCAGCCACTCAGTGGAAGGAAGACTGGGCAATCTACTTCCATAAAGATTTACCACCTTGGAACCCAATGGGGATTGCTATGAGTCAGAATCGACTTGATGGCAGCAAGTCTGGTTTTTTGTTTTTATGTATCATTATCTTTGGATAATCTGTCTTTGGATAAAAGTATTATAAAGGCCCAGGCAGGCTCTCCCCAAACAAACAAACAAACAAAACCAATTTTAGGCTAATGGTGAAACATTTTAAAGTGCCAGAACTGCTTAGGAATTCAGGAAAAGATGAGTGGGAAATGACTGAAATTTATATTATCTTTCAAAAACAAAAGGTAGCCCAACAATGATTTCCCTAGCTGGGCCTACTTGCGTACTGTGAACTAATGGTTAAAAACTGAAGTAATGATCAGAAAAAGCCATAAAAGGGGTCTTTAAATTCAGAAGTAGTGATACTGCCTCAGAAACCCAAGGAGGGGTCGCTATGAGTTGGGGCCGACGCAACAGCATATAACAACAACAAATTCAGAAAGACATATTTGGCAATCTGAGAGCTGCAGTTCATTTAGTTTTAAATTTCCTTCTGAAATATTCTGTCCATTTTAAAATTTTCGATTATAACATTTTCAGAGGGGCACAATGGTTTATTTTAGACCCAATTCAAATCTCCACAAGAAAACCCTTCTAACCCTTCTTGCAAATATTAAGAAAGTATCTCACCTGCTCAGACTGTGTCAGCTTCAGGGCTTCGGAAAGATATGCTGGTTAAAGAAAGAGGTACATTAATACATGAGTGTCATCATTTTGTAATTAATAGGTCAAAGGAAGAGCACAAATAGTCTTCAAATGAGAGAGAAAACTGATCTCAAGCAATTCTGCTATATAGTAAATACATTCCTTAAAAAGAAACAACTGGAGGTTTAAAAAAAGGTAGTAAACTCCTCACCGTCTAGGACAATTCTTTACTTCTCCAAAAAAAGATAGCAGAGATCATCAAAAGTAGGTACCCCCACCCCATTTTGAAGGTTTTACTCTTTAAGACCTGTAAATTTTATAAGTGAAAAACCAAACACAGCCAAATCAGGAAAACAGGATTAGGAAGGATTAAAATTAACGATTAATGATATTTTACCCACCCTGAATACCTGCGCTACCTCATTCTGGCCTCCTAAGAACTAAATTGACTAAGTTGTGTTTTTGACTTATGCCAGCTATTGTTGTTGTTAGCTATTGTAGTCAGCTGACTCATGGTGACCCACATGTCAGAAAACCATGCTGCACAGGTGAATTTCTCAGATGGCCAGCCCTTTCTCCTGAGGCACTTCCAGGTGGACTCAAAGCTCCAGCTTTCTGGTCAGCAGCTCAGCACTTAACCACCTGCACTCCCCAGGGACTCCATCAGCCTATCAGGTCAATTCAAAACTCCAAGAACCTGTTGACATATTAAGGAGGTTGTAAAGGACAATATAATGTCATTTATGAAGCCCTTCAATAAAACTTTTCTCTGATCTTAAGATCAGTCCCTGGGTGACTTGTTTCAATTTAAATAGTCACTGTGAAAATCCCTAATTGTCCTTGCAATGTAGTAAATTACCTGGTATGGCTTTTCTAGCCATAAGTCTTTGTAAACTCGTGGGGGAATTGGCCACAAGCAACTGAGTAGCTCCTGATTGTTAAAGTTACCCACCTGGGGTATTTCTGTTGCGAGTAGCACCAAGTAATTTTCTGGGAAGTTAGCTCTCTCTCAAGTGTACAGAATTCGGATGTTGGGATTGGTTAGTTTGGCTACTCTGCCAGGCTTAAAAAGGAGCCTGCCTAGAGGCAGGAGTCTCTATGACTGCTGGCTGAGAAAGATGTGCTGCTGAGAAAAACACACTCCTGAGAGACTTGAGATACGCCTTGCTGGAGACACCGAGAGATAGGCACTGCTGGGAGAGAGACAGCGGCCTGAAAGAGACTGAGCATGTTCCTGAACTTGAATTGAAACCTATTACTTCCCTAATAAACCCCATAATCTGTGAATTCCGTGTGGCCACTGCCAAGAATTCTCGAACCCAGCAAAGAGGTGGTAGGTGCTGCAGGAAGAAGGGTTAGTGTCAGGGTTAATGTAAGGGCTGGAGGGAGGTGGCATGTCTGGTCTAGCCGGGATAAGCCTTGGGCTACTGATGGTGATTCTGTCTTCCTCTTGTGGGGTTAGAGGAGGTCAGAAGATGCGGCCTCCCTGCCCCTTTAGCAGTCTTCTTTGGACTGACTGCTAGAAAGCTTAAGGCCAAGTTCTCAGTCCATCTTGTAGCATAAGAATATGTAACAACACATGACGTATTCTGTCAACTATACTCCCAGTCTTTTCCCATTTTACATTTTTCTATGAACTTCCTCATCTACTTACTTTTAATCAGATGTTCCTCTGTAAGGCATTTTTTATCTTTTTTGGAACAATGTTGTTGTTGTTGTTTGCCATAGAGTCATAGTGACCCCTCCTTGGGTTTCCAAAACAGTATTACTATGGAAGTAGATTGCCCAACCTTCCTTCTGAGGAGTGGCTGGTGGGTTTGAACCGCCAGCCTTCTGGTTAGCAGTCAAGTGCCTTAGGCACTATGCTATAAATAAGTATTAACCACAAATCATTTCCATCTTTTTTTATCTCATGCTTGCTAGAAACTTTGGGCACCTTCCCAAGCTCTACATTAAGTTCGTTTATGCTTTTGTGCAGATAATACAAAGCATTGATTTCTGTTTAGTCTTAATCCAAATATGCTAATGATTTTCTGAGTTCCTGACTGACTTCTGTTGTGTGCCTCTTTCCACTATAGTCCCCCAAATACAGAGTAAGGATGTTTCCTTCCCCTAGAAAACACAGTGGTGGTTATGCAGTCTTTGCCCCAGCCATACTTACCACACTTACTTTGTTTTTTTCCTATTTTTATCTAGTCTTTCTTTCCTATGTATGTTTGTGTAGCTGCGTACTCCCCTCCCCTTGCCTATATTTAAACTGGGTAGCTCTGCTGAGACATCCTATTTGCTTTGATAATGTGTGGATGAATTTTCCTAGACCCCTACCTCCTTACCTATCCATATTTGTCTGTCTGTACTGTAGTCTGCTATAAATACCAACAAATGGAAGTTTCCCACAACCAACCTTGAAATGTCCTTGCTTTTGTGGAACCCTGAAACTGCATAACAAGACAGAAGGGATACCCAAGAACAGAGTTCCCAAAGTGCAAAAATTTAACAAGAGTCACAACATCATTTAAGGTACTTCCCATATTTGAATTTTTCAACTGTGGCTTTTAAAAACAGTTTTTTTAAAAGGAAAAAGAAGGAATGAAAAATCTGAGTTCATGGTCATGTATTTGCTTCAAAGATTCACAACAGGAAAAATACCTACACCAAGTCAAATTTAGGAAAGGAATACCTATCTCAGAAAAATTTAATAATTCAAGTAAAATTGCTTCTCCAGATATGACAGAGACTGTAATTTAAAGTAGAGGTTCACTAAATGGTGGGAAAGAGAAACTAAGAAAATCTGAAACAGCTACTACTCCTTAAAATAATAACTTCCATTATCTTTTTTTATCAGGCATCTGTTACTAAACTGTTCCCAAAGCACAAACTGGACAGTCTTGCCTACACACACAGCCAAATGTTCTCCTGAATGGTTGAAGACTGATCATTCTAGAATCATTTTCTTGGCACCAATATCTCATTATCATTCCAATTTTATAGGAAGGTCCATGTCAAGATTTGTTTTCAACCAAAATATTGATCAAATACATTTAAATACTATGTACTATGAGGTCTGCTAATCTTTGGAAATGTTCATTTTGAGTTCTCAACATTGTCAGTGGCTATTAATAACTTCTCCCTTTTCAGCTTTTGTTCATTTGTTGTCTGTGAAAGAAATGAAATGCACTTAGGGAACTGGACTATGTGAGACTGATTAAGTGCAAATTATACCAATCCAGTTACAGCTGCTACTCAAAGGTTTAAAACGAGAGTATTTCTAACAATGTTGAATCCTTGGGAATCCTCTTAAGACTTTCCTTTTTTCCAATATTAACCAGTAACCAGTTGCTATCAGGTCAATTTGACTCCTGCTGACTCCATGTATGGGGTGGAAAAACATGGTCACCTCCTTCCGCCCCTCCTGATACGGTGTGTTGGCCAGTTTGTCTGGCAAAGGAATACTCATACACTGTTTCATCTATTTCAGCCATCCTACCTTTCCCCAAAAGGAAAGAGGAATCAAGCCACACCTTTCTGTCAATGTATTTACAAAACAAAACACTATCAGAACACTAAAAAATATAGCAACTATAGTGTCCTCAGCTACCATAACCTCAGGCTAAGTTTTTTTATCTAAAAATATCCTCTGGTGTTCAATAGTTGGACAGAGAAAAGGTAACCAACCCCCGGGAGCGCTGTTACATTGTGGGGATTACAATCACTGTCACGAAACAAAATGTGTATGAACTGTTGTATGAATTTGTTCTGTAAACTTTTACCCAAAGCACAATTAAAAAAAAAAAACTGCTATAAGCAAGCCCTAGATATAAGTCAATTTAGTAAACATGGCACTAATTCCAACCACAACAATGTTCAAACTAGCATTATATTCACAACCCCACTCTAATAACAAAAGGCTATTTCTAACCATCAAGCTTAAACACCAAGTCAAAGCAACGATGTAATATTTACTAGTCAAACTTAAGTTCTATCTCCATAACTAAAGTTATGGGATCCAAAAGCCTCCCTTCTTTTCTACTCCTGAGAATATCACAGAATTTAAATACAGAGAAAGGATATAATGGTAGATTTAATGTCCAATATTAGTTTAAGACTTCAAAGACTGGGAAGTAGGTTAACAACCTTATGTGTTCAGAGTATTACTGCTCAATGTACAACACATGCTTATTTCTCCATTTTAACATATGTTATACATATATCACCACGACCACTTTGTGTTATAAAACTACAAGTATCATTTCATAGGGGCATTAATCCACAATATGGTTTTCTTAAATAGTTAAGCATAGTTGTTGCCTTTATAGAGACTAATTTCCAATCACAGTCTGATAGATAAGAAAATATGGTTTAGGAAAATATAAACAGCACTAGTTGTCAAGTATAATGTATAAAAGTCCCCATAAAATTCACCATAAAATGTACAAAGATACATGGAGTATCTGCTATGTGCTTAGACCTACAGCAGATACCAATGTAAACAAGGGGTTGTGCTTCAGTGGCAAGTAAATTCTTTAATGAGACTTGAAATTTTCTCTTAAAATTACTGACTTATAGGCCAAATCATCAGAACAAGGGTTATTCAAACTACTATCTACCACAGTCTGCACTTCAGCAATAAGTTAACACAGGAGCCAAGAAAGAACATGGCTTTGATCATCCTACTGGTCTAGAGGGTCCATAGGAAAGAGCTTACTTCTAGCAGAAAGACTTTAGGGCTTTTCTAAGAAAGGTGGCCTACACTCATTTTGGATGCAGCAAGAGTAAAACACTCCCTTCCTAAAGCTCTCTGGTTTACTACTAAGCCAACAGAAACTCGTATGTGCTAACAAGTCCCCCAAGAACTATTTCTGAGTTCAACCTAGGTTACAGTAACTGACTAGGATAAATTTTTTGACAAAAAGCTAAAAATTCTAAGCTTGCAAGTGGCCATGCAAATGCAACAATGGGTCTTTCCTTATCCAGTGCAAAGAAGAATGAAGAAAACTAAAGATGCATGGAACAATTAGTCCAAGGGACTAGTAGACCATGTGATGCTCAGCCTATATGACCATAAGACCAGAACTAGATGGTGGCCGGCTACCACTGTCAACCGCTCGGAAAGAGATCAGTGCAGGAAATCCTGGACAGAGTGCAAGAACAATATAGAACAAAACTCAAAATCATTAAGAAATTAAAAAACCACGTTTACTGGTTTGATAGAGCCTGGTGAGATCCCGAGACTATGGCCCCTAGTTACCCTTCAAGCTAGAACTGAACTCACTCCCATGGTTTCCAGCCAAACAATAGACAGGTATATAGGGTGAACATTTATATCAGGATGGTGTATGGGGAGGGGGGTGGCAGAAATAATGCACAGGAAAGGAAGACACAAGGAAGAGATAACTACAGGGAGGAAATGGGAAGAGAGCTGTTACATTGTAGGGAATTGCAGTCAATGTCATGAAAGAAAATGTGTATGAACTGCTACATGGAAAATGAATTTGCTCTGTAAGCTTTCACCCAAAACACAACAAAAATTTAAAAAAAAAAAGCAGCTAAAAATTCTAAATCTCATCACTAAAACTATCACTACTATGGACATGAACATAGAGATGAAATATTTAGAAGAGAAGCTGAAGAAAAACCATAGGGAAAATCACTTAATATTTTGGCTGGCAATGGGTTTTGATGGATTTTGTGTCATCAACATCTCAGAAAACAAAGACGTAAGTGAAAATGAACTCATTGGAGTCAAGTAAGTTGTTTCTTTCAGAACCCAAAATGGCAACTATTTGAAAGCTATATGCCTTTTCCATAATAACTAAGATGAATTGGTAGAGTTCTTGCCATCAGCTTCTGTCTTCAGGGATCAATACGCTCAGAAAACTGTGTCCAGGAATCATTTACTAGCTTGGCAGGTATAAAATCTTCAGTTTAGAAAGACTGTAGGGGGAGCTGATAAATCTAACAGAACCACTTCAAAATTAAAGCTGATGGTCCAGTGGGTCAGCAGTGTCCATCTTATATGTGCAAGCCAAAAGCATCATGTGATTTACACTGTGAATTAAGTGTTAAGACATGGTAGGGGAATGAAATTATTCTCCAGTTTCAGACTCAGTATACTCTAAAAGAATACTCACCTGGTCAGAGAAACGAGAGTACTGGGACCTAAACCACTAGAATACAATTAAAGAGAATATTGACACACTGTGAAAAATTAACTGTTACTGAACTGTTTGTGTAGAAATGATCAAATGGGAAGCTAATTTGCTAAATAAACTTCACCAAAAACACATTAAAAAAAAAAAGAATACTAACCAGCAGCCTTTTTGTGACAAGAAATAGCCTCTTCGTATTTCCCTGCCGCTAACAAACGGTCTGCTCGTCTGCTCTGTTGATGAGCCTAGAAGACAAACATTCCTAAGTTCCTCGGAATCATAAAATAAGACTAGACTTAAAAACATTTTTTTAGAAGATAAATAATGCTGTTTATTGCCACACATTAAATGCCCATTACAATTATATCTGTAATTGGGGAAATTTAAAGGGTAGAGTAGTTCTTGACTTTCAGTGGGGTTCTGTTGCAATGATTCCACTGTAAGTTGTTTCTAACGTAAGTCAAATACCCTCTTTAAGTTTTCATCATTATTGCCTTTTTTAAAAATCAGTATCTTTATAAATCCAATCACTGTATTAGTGGGTTGGAAACATTACTTACAAACTTACAGATATATTTTAATACATAAAATAAAAAAGCAAACCTGCAGCCATTAAGTTGATCCCATTTAGACCCACTGTGACCCTATAGGACAGAGTAAAACTGTCCCATACCATTTCCACAGCTGTAACCTTTACACAAAGAATAGCACATCTCTCTCCACTGGAGCAGTTAATGGGTTTGAACCACCAACCTTTTTCGGTTGGCAGTTGACTACTTAACCACTGTGCCACCAGAGCTCCTTTAAAATACACACATACACAGCTGTTGTTTTTCTCGGGTACCATGATTTGGTTCTGACTCACGGTAACCCTCTTTACAACAGAATGAAACACAGCTCCATCCTGTGCCATCCTGACAACTGTGGCCCATTTCTGGAGCAACTGTGTCAATCCATCTGACTGAGGGTCTTTCTCTTTTTTTGCTGACCCTGTACCAAGCATGTCCTTCTCTAGGGACTGGCCCCTCATGATAACATGTGTTTTATAGATTTGCCCAATGCAGTATGCTTTTTTTCCTTGACCACTGCTTCCATGGCATTGACTATAAATCCAAGTTACATGAAATCCCTGACAACTGCAGTCTTTTCTCCATTCATCATGATGTTGCTTCTTTGTCCAGTTGTGAGAATTTTTGTTTTCTTTATATTAAGGTGAAATCCATATTGAAGGCTGTAGTCTGTGATCTTTAGTAAAGGCTTCAAATCCTCTTCATTTTCAGCAAGCAGGATTGTGTCATCATAAAAAAAAAATACATAAATTATAAAAATTTACTTCAACAATGAAGAGATGGACAATGCTGGCATTTTCTCAGCTGTGGTAGTAAGTACACTTGTGGAAGGTTCTGGATCATCTGGATTATGCTTGGGAATGGGGACAGCATTTCTAGTCAAATAATCAGTGAGGGCTGTCTGTATGGTCCTTTTCTTTTTTCTTCATATTTTTGCAGTAACGTCTCATGGGTACCCAAAATCGCCTCATCAACTTTAGCAAAGCAATCAACATTTGGACCCATGTTTTCTAGCAACTGAAACCCTGATTTAGTTTAGAAAAAATTCCAGCTAATCCTTTCATTGTAAACTTTGACAACTTCTTTCCTTCCTCTTCTTCATATGTCTTTCTTCTTCACTTGTTTCCTCTTCAAAATCCATTAACTGATCTATCAAATCTCCATCTTTGTGACTGGCAAGCTATTCCTTATCAGAGCTATTAAGTTCTAAATTCAGCATTCTTAACATGGATGATTTTTCCACTGATCTCTTCCAATATATTATACTGAGCAAATGTTTGGAGTGTGTTGACGTAACTCAGCGATTTTTTCCATATCCTTTGCATGCATTTTCCCGTAACTTCCTATAGATAACTTACTAAAAAGTTAAGATGTACAAAGAAACAAAAATGAAAGGATGGTCGTTAACTGCAGTTAGTTGTATCCTGAATACATCATTAAGTCAGGGACTATATGAAAGAAACGGGTAACATCTCTCAGTTTACAGATAAACCTTCTCAAGGTTAATTACAGGCACTTAACTCCTTCAGTAGCCTACATTCTTTCATTTTTCAGAGATTAACAAAAAGAACTAAAATCATAGATTTTTACTCAAAGTGTGCACTTTCCTGATTTCTTTTAAAACCTCACAATGGTTTAAGTGCTTGGACATTAACCAAAAGGTCTGCAGTTCAAACCTACCAGCCACTCCATGGAAAAAAAGGTATAGCGGTATGCTTCCAGAATAATCTACAGCCTTGGAAATCCTACAGAGCAGTTGTACTCTGTCCTACAGGGTCACTATGAGTTAGAATCAATTCAATGACAGTGGCTTGGTTTTAGCAGGTATCACTAGTTTGTATAGGTTTAAAAGGTGTATAGGTTTAAAATTATGTGCTCCATTCCTGGCTCTTCTTTCTTGATGGCAGTGAGAGTCCCATTTTTTACTTCTGAGATGCCTCATGTTAAGCCTAGCAAGATAGCAAAACTGATCAATCCCCAGAGTAGAGTTCCATACACTTTATTTACATGGTTCCATCCCCACAAGAGTGCCGTGTACCTTATTTACATTATTAGCAAGCTATCTAATCCCCTTGGTGGGGCATAAGCACAGTCCCACCCAGTCATGTCATGGGAGTCACAAATCATGGCTAGAAGGGTCATATTAACTAACTCACCACACTGCAGCTATAATCAGAAAAAAAGAACATAAGTGTTGGCAAAGATGTGGAGAAAATAGAAACCTTGTCCATTGCTAGCAGGAATGTATAACGGTATAGCTACAGTAGAAAATACTTTGGCAGTTCCTCAAAATATAACCACTGGAATTACCATATAGCCCAACAATTCCACTCCTAGGTATATACACAAAAGAATTGAAAGCAGGGACTCAAACAGATTGAATGTGCACCAACGTCCACTGTAGCAGTAGTCACAATAGCAAAAACATGAAAACAAGCGTCTTTGACAAATGAATAGATGAGCAAAATGTGCTATATTCACACAATAAAATATTACTCAGCCAATAAAGAGATACACAGTTCTGATACATGGTACAACACGGACAAACCTGAAAACGTTATGCTGAGTGAAATAAGTCACATACAAACACTAAAGGACAAATACTGTATGACCCTAAATATATGAAATACCTAGAACAGTTAAGTGCATAGGGACCAAAGTTAAGTAGCGGTTACCAGGGGCTGGGGATAGGGAGGAATGGAGAATTAGTTATTTAAACGGTACTGAGTTTCTGTTCAGGAGGATGAAAAACTTTTGGAAATGGGGAATGTAATGGTAGTACACCATGGTCGATGTAATTTATGTCATTGAATAGTGTACTATAAAATGGTTAAAATGGAAAATATTTTGTTATTGTACCAAAACACCTTTTTTAATGTTAAGATAAAAATTTTAAGGTATACAGTGATTTATCTTGAAGCTTTTCAAGATATGTGACATTGAGGTCTCATAAAAATACTAAGAGAAATACTTTTGCCACTGAAACTGGAAATACTATGGCATGTTTGCAATTATGCTCTTCAGTGTAAAACAGAGGTAGAGACAAAGTCGAAAATAGCACTTCCTGCAAACCATGGGTTTGCATTTTCCCCACTTCTATTTTTGTAAGATAGAATAAGCAACACTGTTAAAGTCAAGATCATCTCTTTCAGTCCTTTCAAGTGCTTTTTATTCTTCAAACAGTAATTAAACAAACTTTTAAGTCTAAATTTATTCCTGGAAAAAAATAAAATAAAACAAGTGGTCACCATAAATAACTGATGACTTAAAATAATGGATAAATTTTAACCAGTCTTGAACTGAGCAAAAATAGTATCCACAAATGATATAGATCTTTTAAAAAGTTATATACATGATAAAGAGAGTGAGTATAAGCAGTCATGATTAACATTATTTCCTTAATGTACATGTCCTAAAAGTATTGTGAGTAATTACTACAGCCAAAGAAATACTCTTCTGGGAATGCAAGGGACAATCAATAAGGTTCTAAGTAGGAAAAAACAAAGAAATGGAAGGGCTAAACTTGCAGCTGTCTTTACATTTCTGAGCTTTGAAAGAAGCCCAAAGAACAAACCAACCCAAAGTTCTCATGTATTGAGAACAAGACCTCATGGCTCTCCCGACTCTCCCCAAACCTCCTCCTGTAAAGTTCAATCTCCAATCACTGTGCCAATTCAGGAATCTATTTCATTTTAGTTTCAAATATTATTGACCCAATATAAACATCCATTCTAAGTTATCTGGTGCCACAGCAATTAAATTCTTTATCTTAAAGGGAAAAAAAAAAAAAAAAAGATACCCTTCCTATTAAGTTCTTACTACCCATTCCTCAATACTGACTCTGGATAGAGTATAAATTCCCGAATTCAAATCTCAGCTTGGACACCTATTACACACAAGAATTTAGCATTCTTAACTTTCTGACTCATTTCTCACCTCTAAAATTGAGTTGTTGTGCAGATTAAACTAGTTATGGTATCAGAGTACTCAGACTGGTGCAGGGTACATAGCACTCAAAAATATTCATTATTATGCTAAGTACTATGAAAGACAATTAAACACTTGTGGTCTGTCCCATCAAGAAATTTACAAAATAGTTGAAGAGACTAGACTAAATTGCATTTTCATTTTTACTTAAGATATTGTAGGAAACCTGTTTTGGTAGTCACATTTTTTTTAAAAATCATCTTTGAAGATTTCACATATTAAAATGTATCTCTTTAAAATACTCTTCTTGGTAGAATCACAGCTATTAAATGTTTCGTTGATAATTCAAAATAAACCAGGAACAAGAAGCAATTAAAACAGGGCTTTTGGTAGCAATTCTAAAAGCAGTCTGAGGACTGACATTTTTATAATGATAACATGTTTCTTCTTTATCAAGATGCACCAAGATTTTCTATTTCATATTCATTCAAAAAGGATAAAAGACACAATAGATCTTTATGATAGGTTCACGAACAATTCAATGTTTATTTACATCAAGAATGCATTTACTTCAGGTACTAATCAAATTAAAAGGAGCTCTGGTGGTATAGTGTCTAAGGTATTTGACTGCTAACCAGAAGGTTGGCAGTTCAAACCCACCAGTCACTCCACAGAAAGAAGACTGGGCAATCTACCTCCATAAAGATTTACTGCCTCAGAAACCCAGAGGGGGTCGCTATGAGTCGGAA